CGAGGATTTACATAATGCATACAATCTACCCTGAAAACCGTTTAATCAGTTGGAGAATTTCCTTCTTGAATATATTCATCCTAGTCGTTCTTTTAAATTTGCGATCATTCAAAAAAAAGCTTTTCAAACTACTAGTTATAATTTAACTTAAGGATTCTCGATAAATTAATTGATGGATCACGTATGACATTTACGAAGTCGTTTAAAAGCAACTGAATTTGATTCATTATTAGTTGATTATAAAGTTCAATCATTATTTGATATGTCATATTGTGCATTGCGTCAACGCAATTTTAAATTAGCTTTAACAAAATTAAATGAAATACGTCAACATCTTGATTTATGTCAAAATCTATTAATAAGATCAATATATTGGAATGAAATATATTGTGATGTATATTTAAAACGTCATCAAATACAATCATCAACATCAACATTATCAAGTTTATTATCAACAAGTGTTGCAAAAGAATTAAAAAAAAATGGAAATTAAAATTTCTTCATTAAAAATAATTGATCAACAAATAGCACAATTAAATTCACAATTTTGTCGAACAGTTATCGATTTTTTACTTGCACAACCATAAGCTTATTATAATTATGAACAAGATGAAAAAATTCCACAAACTGAACATAAACAATTAGAAATGTATTTATATAGATTAGAAAATAATCATAATAATAATAATCAAATTCAACAAACATGATGTATTAATTTATGAATTATTTAATAAATATATTCATATATTAAAAGAAAATATTGAAAAACAAGAAACTGATTTAAAAAATCTTTCAGTAAGTTTTTAAGAAAAAAAATTTTTTTTCCTATCTTTGATTTATTTTTGGACATCTATTCGTGTAGCAAAAGAAAATATTCTTAGTCGTGATTATAATGAATTAGCAAGTATATGTGATGATTATTTACGTCGATTTGAAAATAATGAAGATGAAAATAATTTATTAACAAATTTATTTAATGGTGATCATGGAAATAAAATAGCTGAATTAATTGTTAAATCTGTTTTATTATCAATGAAATATGGTTCAAATGAAGGTATTAAACGTTTTTCACGTTTATTACAAATTGTTGATTTATATCCAAAAACAATGGATTTAATTGCTGATAAATTACAAGAAATTCCTTGTTGGATGTTTTTTGATTGTTTATATCAAATAACTGCATATTTAGATAAACCAATTGCGTAAGTTACTTATCATTTTATTCAAAGATTACTTTCCAAAAAAAAAAATCATCCCTTACAATTTAAAGCTTTTTCGCTGATTATTTTGCTCATAAATATGATTCGGTACGACTAGAAAAAAAGACCTAAAGGGATTTGTTCCCATGAACCTTCGAAACCAAGTTATAATAGTTTCGCTGATAGATAGATCTAATGTCTCTTAGGATATCTTAACTGTTTCAGCTGCAAAAGAGTTTTCCTTTGTCGAGCTTACTAAAAACTTCAATATCTCTACAAAGGAATATTCTTTTCGTCTGAAATTTTAAGAATATNATAGATAGATCTAATGTCTCTTAGGATATCTTAACTGTTTCAGCTGCAAAAGAGTTTTCCTTTGTCGAGCTTACTAAAAACTTCAATATCTCTACAAAGGAATATTCTTTTCGTCTGAAATTTTAAGAATATCTTCAATTAAAATTTTTACAACTATAAAAATTAATAACACATTCAATAAAAATTATCATTATTATAACTTTTAATAATTAGTGAAATTCAAAATAGAGAATATTTTAATTAAATTTTTACATTCAAATCTTCTTTTTGTTTTTTTAAAGGCTTAAATTATATTCAGTAATTGAACAAATTGTAAAACTTTATTCACAATCAATAGTTTATCCATATAAATTAAGTTATGAAACATTACAATATTCAATTCAAGATCCAATATTAAAACAAAATCTTGAATTAATTCAACAAGAATTAAATCATTATACACCACTTGTTAATGAATTTATTGAAGCATTAAATCAATTAAATTCTCAACAACAATTTGATACATGGTCAAAAGAATTATTTCATTTATTAACATCTGATTCAAATACACGAGATATTAATAAACTTCAAGAACATTTAATTAAATTTAAACAAATACTTTTTTCTGATATAATTAATCTTGATGAAACAAATGACGAACAATTAATATTATCAAATACACAAGATAATAATGATATAGATGATAATACATTATTAAAACCTAAAATAACATCAATAAGAATATTATTTAAAAATGCTGTTAAAAAAGAATTTAATGATTTATTTGGTAAAAATGGGGAATTATTATCAACAATATCATTAAGTGATACACGTTTAATATTAGGTAATATATCATTAAAATTAAAAAATATTATACAAGATAAAACAAATATAAATAATTATTCGACATGGTTTTCATCAACATTTCGACAACAAAATCGTATATTAGATAAATCATCTATACATGAATTAGAAATACCTGGACAATATACAAGTAAAAAAAAAATCATTAATTGAACATCATATTAAAATTGTTGGTTTTGATGAAAAACTTTTGGTACTTCATTCATTACGTTTACCAAAACGTATAACAATACGTGAACATGATGAAAATGATTATAGATTTTTAATTAAAGCTGGAAAAGATATACGACAAGATCAACGTATTGAAGTTTTATTTTCAATTATGAATGACCTTTATGATAATGATCCAAATTGTAATCAATCAAATTCAGCTCATATTGCTGTACGAACTTATAAAGGTAATTAATTGTTAAGTGTTTGATCAAAGAATTTTTTCTCTCCTGAAGTGTAGCGAAATATAGGAATAATAGATTCAAAAAAAAAACAATCAGAAAAACTGAAATACACTAAAAACATTAAGTTTCATTAGACTCGATTTTTCATTGTACTCAAAGACACGTACTCACATTTCGAACAGTCAATACTCTTCAAGTCCTATCCATATTGAAGACCAAGGATCTTCTATTGCGAGGGTCCTACTCGGACTTACCCAGTTCTAGTTTTACTCGTCATATAGTTTGTAAAAAATCTATTTATGCTTTTTTTTAAAATTTTGTTTGATTGTTGAGAGAATCGTTTTTCCAATATGACAGCAAAACATCATAAATACAGGTTTATATTCAGAGATTATGAACACACTTTCATCAAATTCCGATGTTTTCGTCCTGTCACTGTTTTTCTTTTCGAATAATCTGACCTGTGTGATTCTATTGAGATTAAAATTTCTAAATACAAATCTGTATTTATGATGTTTTGCCATCATATCGAAATAAAAAGAACGATCTTCTTAACACTTAAACAAAAATATTTTAAAAAGTGTGTAAAATTTTTTTTTGTAACCATTTGTCGGTACCTTAACGAAAGAAAAGATTTTGAATGTGAAATATAATAGAACTAATTTTCTTATATATGAACAAAATCTTGTTCATTTTATGAAATTTGCATTCTTCTGAAATTCAAGTATACTAGAACAATTATGAATTATAAAATTATCTAATATAAATTCTTCACTTTCTATAATAGAAATCGATTATGCAAATGAGAATGAATATTAGTATTTTGAAATTTTGTAATAGAAGAAATTGAGATGATACCGTAAGATTGATCATCTTTATCAAATAAAATGATTTTTGATAATATTATGTCTCATTACGAGATAAAAATGACAAATCCGATGAATGAATTATGTAAAATTATAAATTTCTAAACATAATTATTTTAGTTATTCCAATGTCATCAAAATTGGGTATAATCGAATGGCTTGATAATACACGTCCATTAAAAGATCTTATTGAAGAATCATATGACAATAATGAACTTAATATAATAACAAGTCAAGGTCAACATTCAAGAAAATTTTAGCAAGATTATGTAACAAATACATATCAAAAAGTTAAACAAACAGCTAAAACAGCTAATAATACTGTAATGTATGCTGAATTATTTCTTAGTTTAACCAAAACTCAAGTTCAAGAAGAATTTAATCATATACAATCAGTTATATCTGCTGATTTACTTCGACCTGCTTATTATAAAATAGTTAATTTTCATGAAGGTTTTTATACATTACGTCGACAATTTATAACAAGTTATGCTGTTTTATGTACAACAAGTCAATATATACTTGGTATTGGTGATCGACATCAATCGAAGTATGTTTAAATATTCGAGAGATCGGACCCAAGTTTATCTCATTAGTCTTCGTAAAATGTCTTATTCCTATGAATAATAGTTGATACACTCCATAGGACTTAGCACAGTATGTATATTTATTAAAAATAAGTTCGTATAAGAGAACGTTTTCAACTGATCAAAATCATTCTCACCGAATACTAGTAGATTTGTACGTTATCGACTATGCTGATTTCGAATATGACTATGAAAAATTCTCTTAGATCTTCATAGATTGGTTTTCCAGATGAACAAGCTTTTCCGCGAAAATCTCTTTTAATCTGTCCAGATTATAGAACATATCGAATTGACTAGAAAATAGTAACTTATTCTGTTTGAAATCATTCTTTTTTCACAAAAGGGAAAAGATTATTTGCCCATAGACAGCTCGATATACTCTATAATCTGATTAGATTTAAAACGATATTAGCAAAACGTTTGTTAATCTAGAAAACCAGCTTATAAAGATCTAAGAGGATTTATTATAATCATTTTCGGAATCAACATAGTCGTCAATAACTTATGGTCTAGCAGCTTTTCGTGAGAAAGCGATTGATAAGTTGAAAACATTTTCTACAATATCCAGGTTGAGCTAGTATGAGTATGTACTTTGACTACGCCATCTTGCTAAGCACGATGTTTTAATGAAAATGCATACTATTGAAACCAACTATTCATAGGAATTAAGGCTTTTTATGGGCACTAATGAAATAAACTTGAATTCAGTCCGATTTGAAATTCATGCAATCCATATGTTTTACAAATTATTTTTTTAGTTTTCTTATTGATACATCATCTGGCTAAATAATATTGGTATTGATTTTGGTTCAGTATTTAATGCTGCTACGATTGTAAATTAAAATCATATTATTAAATAGAAAAATTTTTATTTATTTGTTCTTTTAGTATTTATCTGTACCAGAATTAATACCAATTCGTTTAATACGACAACTTACGCAATTAATATCACCCATCAGTACAGCTAGTTTATTTCATGCAACAATTATTCATACAATGAATGCATTGCGTGAAAATTCTGATTTATTACTTAGTACAATGGATGTATTTATTAAAGAACCATTAATGGAATGACTAGTAAGTTTTATTAATCCAAAAAGAAAAAAAAAACAGCAAAAAAAATAATTTTTAATATAGAAATATGTACTTTAAACAAGTAGCACAAAATGGTATGTAAATGCAATAAAAAGTAATCCTTTTTTTTTTTTTTTTTGAAAAATGATGTTTTTAGAAACAAATTTATTTCGTTCAGATGATGCTTATGCAAAAGATCGAATTAAAAGTGCACGATTAAAACTGAATGAAATTAATCCAGCCGTTATAAGTGGGTATGATGATGAATAAATAATTGATTGAAAAAATATTATTGATGTCTTTTTTTTTTGTTTTTATTGTTTAAGATCTGATTTGATATTAAATAATTTCCTTCGTTCATCAAATTTGAAAGATGCACGTCGTCAAATAGACAATAAATGTGCTCAAATTTTATTAAAATATAATTCAAATCATTATCATAAATTAACAGTTGATGAACAAATTGATTCTATTATTGATCCAGCAACAGATGCTGATACACTTGGTCGATCATGGGGCTAGTTTAGAAACATTTATGTAATTTTTTCTTTTTTTGATTATTTGATAAATAATTCTTTGTTATCGATATAGATAATTCAAATGTAAAATTTTGTGAACATTTGTTTCCTTTTTGTATAATTGTTCTACAATGTTGGTTTTTTTTGTTCGATAATTAGAGAATAAATATAAAAATAAGATATTTAGTTTAATAAAACAATTACTAGAAGAAATATACGTGATACATATGATTCGATAATAGGATGAATAATAGTTATATTTACATGTCATATGTGAGTCATCTATAATGCAGTATTCTCTCGGTGTTTGATTAGAAATCAAACATAGTCTTTGTTATATATAGAATAATTTGAAAAACTAAGTATTGACTGAATCAATATTGGACATAAGAATAAAACAAATTGACATACTGATCTGTTAACATAATATTGGTCGGATTAGAATACGAGATATGATAGAGCTGTTGTTATTGTCTACGAGAGATTTTACCAAAATATCTCTCATTTTGTCTATTGCTACATATTGTTAATGTGTGTTTGTGATCAAAAGAAGATATTAGTTAACTATAATGTGTTTGAATATAGAAAGATGAACATCTTAATCCTTATTCTAGTCTTAAGAGTAGAGACAAAGATTCAGGTCGAAGGTTTTATGTTTCGGAAACAAGCAGATCTCGCTGAAACTGATCGAAAGGATTCACGAAAATCATCGTATTTGGTAGAAAAACTTTCAAAATCGATGGCAGTTGAACGCAGTACTCGACATCGAAAAGAACAAGAAGTTGATCTGAATTCTGCGATAAATTCGGAAGATTTTCCAGTCCGAACTATTGCGTTCAAGTAATTCCATCGATTTTCGATGTTTTCCTTCCGAAACGATTTAATTTGCTATAGAATTCAATATTCACAATGAAATTTTTATGATATATATAAAATTTAACAACAATATAGCACATTATAAATTTTCAATTTTTTTTCTTTCGTTTTGTTTTGTGAAAATATTGCAGTAAAAAGATAAGACGATTCATCTAAATAATTTAAAACAATGATTAGAGATCTTTCTTTGGCCTCTATGTAATTACATGTATAAAAAAACTCAAAATTATCTTTTTATGATTGTTATTTGTCCGTTATTTAGACTTAGAATGTAAATCTTACGTTACTTTAAAAATACACAAAAAAAAAAAAATAAAATATCGATAAATTTCGTATCAATGTTATAGCTACTTAATATAACATCGATAAATATAAAAGTAACATTAAAGTTATATAACAAATAATTTAGCAATAATTTATATAATTCTGATCAAATGATTGTTTTTTTAATTTACGAAGATCTATAGTTCGAATCATCTGACTGACATTATTAGAAAAAATCCATAGAACCAGAACAAAAATAATATTTGATTAATTATAATAATATCTGAATCAGTTAATCTATATTGAAAATTTATTTTTGAATCATTTCTAGAAAACAAAATTCAATTATTAAAGAAAAATAAAGACAATCGATTTATATCAATTCGTTTAAGTCCATAATAAAAACATTTTATCCAACAATATCGTTCTTGTACTGGTACAAAAAAATGATTGATTAGCTGATGTTACATGTACTGTTACTGTATTAGCTGATAATTGTCTTGGTATAATTATTTCACCAAAACTAGTTAAACATAGTAAAACATCATGAGCATATATTTCATAATCAGCATGTAATAAACATAAAATCTAAGGAACTGTTTGAAATTATAAAAATTTCTAAAACAAAATAAATAAATAAAACCTGTACAAATGTAATCTACATAATAAGATAAAATTTACCTATATTTAACAACAGCTCGAAGAGCTAATTCAACAAGTGTAAAATTAAATCGTGGACATGTTATATATTTTTCTGCAATTAATGGATTTTCAGCCTAATGAAATATATGTAAATGTGTTTCACTACGAGATAAACTATTTGGTATAGCACGAATTAAATTTGATGTTATATTAAATATTTGTAATTGTGGTAATGAATGTAATATTTGTCTTGGAATAAATTTTATTTTATTCGATGATAAATTTAAACGTTCAAGTGTATGACTATTTATAAAATAGTTAAATCAATTTTTTCATTATTGATTTTGCCTTAAATCAAGATATTTAAGTATAGGAAATTTAATATCAGTTGGAAAAGATTTTAATTGATTTGAACGAATTGTGAATGTATGTAAATAATTTATCTGAATATTTGACAGTAACTCTGTTACATTATTATCAGACAAATCAAAAGTATGCAAATTTTTGAAGTGCAAATACTCAACGATCAATAGGTGTACGAAGATATGAATTGAATTAATCGTAAGTTTTTCTAATGTTAATGGAAAATCTTTTAATGTTGGATAATCAACAACTTGATTGATTGTAAGTTGAAGTGTTGGTCATTGAAGTTTTTCAATAACATTTATAAATATTGATTTAATTCATGATAGAAGATTATTATCAGTCGATGGTAGATGAACACTTGAATGTAAAGTTTTCAATGATTCAACATTAGCCTATAAAATAAAAAAGAAGAATTGTTTAATAATTTTGTTTTTCTTTTTCAAAAATATTGGAATGGAAAACAAAAAAATTCAACAATCATCAATTTTACCTCACATAATTGTAGATCATAAAGGTGGTAAGGGTGGGTGTGGGTGAACTAAAAAACATCCACACAGACATTCACACACATACCTTGCACACTTCCACATCTACGTCCAAACACCCACATCCCACCCTAAATGTGATAGACATGCTAGTATAGCACATTTAATACTAATATGTGATTCATCATCACTTTTTATTGTACCGTCCATATTGAGTATATATCTAATCGAAAAAAAATATTTCTGTTTTGTTTTTGTATTACATACTTTGAAACAAGTCGTTCAACAAGTTTAGCAGCTGATGTTCGTTTTTCATTATTTATCACTGATGTTGAATCTAATTCATCATTCATTTTTACATACTAAAATATCTTGTTGTTCATTAATTTCAATAAATGAACGTTTATATGTTGGATAAGCTATTTTTTTAAAATAAACACAAATACCAAAAAAACTTGTTGTTTATTTTCTCATTATTTACCTGTTTTTAATGCTTGACTAACACGAGTCTATTCTATAGATCCAAATTGAGTTGAAATTAATAATTGATCAAAATCAAATAAATTTGAATTTTTAACTATAATTTGAAGTGTTTCCAATAAACTTCATACAACATTATGATCATTATGTTGTAAACAAATATAACATACCATATCAATATACTAAAAAAATTCACATTAAAAATAAAATCATTCATTATTTGTCGAATACTCATTGAAAAATGTTGTTCATTTGTATCAATATTTTTACTTCTATTTATTGATTGTTGATTATTGCTTGATGATGATTGAAATTCTTGGATATTTATACTAAGTAATTGAATAAGATTTTTTATTAAATCAATATAAACAAAATATTAAACGTGTATTAACATTTTAATTATGATATTCAAATAATTGATCTATTAAAATAAAAGACAATTATAATGAATTGAAATTATTATTTGAAAGAAAACTTACTAATTCCATTTGTCATTAGAAAAGTGCTATAACGATGGGATAACATATTTGCCGAATAGGCCATGAGAAGTTCCTAAGAATAATTTAGTAATTGATTATATTCCATAAGAAAATTATTTATTATTAATATCAAGAAAAAGAAGAAAAGAAAAATTCGTTCTCACTCGACTTTATACTTTAACTATAACGATAGCCAGTGAACTACTATGACTAAATTATTTAATTTCTTATTATCATTTAATGATAAATAAAATTTTATTATTCTTAAGTTGCATGAAACTCTACGCTCGATTATTTTCGAGGTCGGATCGCTCCAAATGATGGACAGTTTCTCAGTCCGTATTTCGTCAAATAGTATCAAACTACCTTTTCTACATTATCTGAAAAGCGTCATCTCCTGCTTGAACTTTTGACCGAAACATGGGCTCAGAAGTTATCGATTAACTAGAGCAATCCTTTTCTGTGAAATGATTTATGAACTTTTCTATGTTTCTATTCAATCGCATGACATTTTTCTGATTACTTCTTTAGAAAACTTGTCTTCGATGACAAAGATTTTATTTTACCTCTTTATCATTAATCAATCGATCAATAATACGAAAAATAAGTTCATAGTATTCTGATAATTTTTCATGAACAATATCTTCTGAACAAGCAGCAATTGAGCAAAATACTGCTGATAAAAGTTCAGAAAATGGTCGAAACTTTTTCGGATGTATTACATTTGCTAATTTGGCAAATCGTCATAGAACACCTAATCAAAATTATAAAAAAAACCTTATTATAAATTTAAGTCAAATAAAAAAAAAAAACCTTTTAACGCTCTTGATCCAACATTAGGATTACGTTTTATAATTCGATGTAATTCAACTTGAATTCTTGTTAAATTTGGTTCTTTTAAATTCTATTTTATAATTCATTAAAAAGAAAGAAAATTATACAAAAATAAAAGAATTTCTTTTCTAATACTTTAACAAGTTTATTAAGATTTTCTTCGAAAGTCAATCGTATATCATAACCATTTTTAGTNTATTATAATTTAATTCATACAATTCAACATCGTTTTGATGTTATGTTATCACAATCAGAAATATTCTATCCATCATTTGTTGCTGCTTTACTTGATATTGTTTTAGCTAAACCTGAACAAATACAAATATCAGCACAATATATAATTGCATCAACTATTGCAAGTCATTTAGAATCTGTTGGTATATTAACAGTTGAATGTTTTATACGTTTAAATCAACAAAATGAATATAAACAATTATTAAATGGACCATTAAAGAAAAAATTAAAATCTGATCCAGATTTAAATAATCAATTATATAAAAAAATTGATCAATGGCTTGAATTAGCTAAATGTTATCGTTCATTAGCTAATTATGATGATGTACGTGGTATTTTTTCTCAAACACCTGGTTTAAAATCAATAACATTACGCGCTATTGAAGAAGAAAGTCATACAGATTTCTTATTAGCTTTAAATAGCTATGTTACAGCATTAGAACAATATCCATTAACTGATGAAACATCAAATGATTCAATATTAGAATTAGAACATGAATTTTGGACACAATCAATGTTAAATTGTTGTAATCAATTAAATAATTGGACAATTATGTCTAAACATATATTTATTGATAATACAACATTTGATACATTATGGTCAAATGCACATCAATTAAATTATTTAATGCCATATGCTATACGTGCTAAACTTAAATTACTTATATCAGGCAATGAAAAAGAACAATTAGAACAAAATGATCTTTGTCAATTTTTTAATAATTTATCAACAAATTCAAATAATATAATTATAACAGGAAATTCTGAAACAACATTTGTTAAACGTTCATATATTGAAAAACAATATCCATTTGAATTAGCAACATTTTTTCTTTATCAAAAAGATTTTGATCGTAAGTTATGAATTCAATAAATTAAGCTTTAGTTTTTACCGCACTTATATAGAGAAATTATGCGTTTTTTTTATGTTGATTGTTCTAATACACTGTGCATTAGGCTGAGCGAAAACCTAGCTTTTCTCAAAAGATTGAACCACGTAGAAAATTTCTGTCTGCAACTTCCAAACTATCTCACGGGCTATTAAAGAAGCATTGCTTCAAAGCTTCAGTCAAAATCTTCGCGTTATATTCTATTTCATAAGTCTTGAAGAAAAATTTGATCTAATGAGAGAAGTTTTCAAACTAGCCGACGCCGATTGAACAGATTCTTTTTCCAAACTTGTTTATAAACGAGTTTTCGATCATTACATATCTCTATCAATACTTTGTTCACTTACTGAAAATTCAACACTTATGTACAAAACATTAGAGCGGATTTTTCTATAAATGTATTAGTCTATTTATTTTGTTTGTTTGTAGGTGCAAAATATTATATTCAATATGCCAAAGAACAATTTTTACTTCGCTGGTCAACATTAAGTCGTTTAAGTGAATATGGTCGTAAAATAACAATTCAATTAATTCAACCATATTATGAACTTGATCAATTTCTTATATTTATTGAACAAAATTTACCATTAATAAAATCTCTTGAAAATCGCTATTTAACAAATAATAAAAATGACACAACAACACGAGATTTATTTCTCGAACGTGTACGCAATGATTTATTATCACAATGGCAATTACCAGATGTTGTACGTAGTTCAATACAAACATGGGATGATATTGTTACAAATCGATCATTATTTTTAGATGTATGTATAAAAAAATTTCATTTTTTTTTATGGAAAGAACTTTCATTTGACATTGATTCACAGATTTCTGCATGTTTGAAAAGGATAAAAATGAAAAAAACAAAGAAAATCAATTGAGTTACTTTCTTACTTGAAAGGAAAATATGGTCATAGTTTTAAAACTAACTTTTGTTAGTATATTATTGAATTAGTGTCAGCCTTATTATTTCCTAAGATATTGCATTGTTATGCTGTTTGTTTAAGTTAAAAACTAATTATAATTTAACTTTAGATTCTGGATGAATTAATTGGTGGACCACGAATGACTTTTACAAGTCGTTTAAAAGCAACTGAATTTGATCCATTATTAGTTGATTATAAAGTTCAATCATTACTTGATATGTCATATTGTGCATTACGACAACGTAATTTTAAATTAGCTTTAACAAAATTAAATGAAACACGTCATCGTCTTGATTTATGTCAAAATCCATTAATAAAGTCTATATATTGGAATGAAATATATTGTGATGTACATTTAAAACGTCATCAAATACAATCATCAACATCAACATTATCAAGTTTATTATCAACAAGTGTTGCAAAAGAATTAAAAAAAATGGAAATTAAAATTCATTCATTAAAAATTATTGATCAACAAACAGCATAATTAAATTCAAATTATATACAATTAAATTCACAATTTTGTCGAACAGTTATTGATTTTTTACTTGCACAACCATTAGCTTATCATGATTATGAACAAGATGAAAAAATTCCACAAGCTAAACATAAACAATTAGAAATGTATTTATATGGATTAGAAAATAATAATAATCAAATTAAACAAGCTGATTTATTAATTTATGAATTATTTAATAAATGTGTTCATATATTAAAAGATAATATTGAAAAACAAGAAACTGATTTACAAAATCTTTCAGTAAGTTTGAAAGAAATTGTGTCTTTAGAACTAACATATATTTTCGAAGAAATAAGCATGTGTAAGTATATTGCGGCTCCCGCTTCCTAGGTCCTAGCTACTAGAAAAGATGCCAAAGTTCATTAGAAATGTTTACATAGCAAACAATAACAACAGGCATCAGAATTAGAGAGAGATGCAGGACCCAATTTTTTTGCTCCCACACATATCCTGTTAGACCTTTTTCCCGAGTTCCTTAGTAGCGGGAAATAGGTGCATTAAATAACAAAACTGAAATTGTTCTAGAACATTTGAAAGGTTTCGTTGAAACTCCAATGTCTGGAATACATTTGTGACTGTTCTAAATAGTGCAATTTTTAATTTTTGCGCACATAAATATTTATTTTCTGGATGTCAAGGATAATGGGTAGTGATGCGTTTTTAATTCCATTCAGCACTTTTTCCCGTTGCTGTGAAAGCATACCCATTGGTCTCTGATATTTGACCCTAGACGCTAGAGCCTAGAAAAAGGGGAACCGTGATAACCTCGATTTAAACTTATATTTACTATTTTCTTCGAAAATAAATGTGAATTCTGTAACAAAAAAAAAAAGAAATTTCTTTGTTCATTTAGACATCTATTCGTGTAGCAAAAGAAAATATTCTTAGTCGTGATTATAATGAATTAGCAAGTGTTTGTGATGATTATTTACGTCGATATGAAAACAATGAAGATGAAAATAATTTATTAACAAATTTATTTACTGGTGATCATGGAAATAATATAGCTGAATTAGTTGTTAAATCTGTTTTATTATCAATGAAATATGGTTCAAATGAAGGTGTTAAACGTTTTTCACGTTTATTACAAATTGTTGATTTATATCCAAAAACAATGGATTTAATTGCTGATAAACTACAAGAAATTCCTTGTTGGATGTTTTTTGATTGTTTATATCAAATAACGGCACATTTAGATAAACCTATTGCGTAAGTTAACTTATCGTTTTATTTAAAGATTACTTTTGAAAGAAAATCAAACTTAATCAGGAATCATCCGATGCGATTCAAAGCTTCGAAGGACCCATGGATCTTTGAAGCTGAAACATTGACCATGAAACAGAATTTTTGACCTATGTATGGTATCTTAACTAGAAAATCAAAGAATGAAGTTTTATAAATAAGCCTGATTTTAGCCAAAAAGAATGTTCCGTTGTCGAGATATTAACTTTCCAAAAAAATAGTCTTTTGTCACAAAAATCGAATTTACTTACAAATTCAACATCTCGACAAAAGAATATCTTAAGATTCATCAGACTTATCTATGAGCGAAACGATCATAACTCGGCTCTGAAGGTTCAATGCGATGAACTCTTTAAGACTTTTTCTAGTTTTTCCATAATAACAACATTTCTATTATTATAAACACGAGTTTACATAGTCACCCAACGAAAATTATAGTTCAAAACACTTTATTTTAAATCATAGAAAATTTTGATCTTAATAATACTCTCATAATATCCTTCAGTTAAACATACTGAATAACATATTCAACAAAACTATTATAATTATAACTTTCTATAATTGAAATTCAAAACCAAATATTTCAACTCAATTTTACATTGAAATCTATTTTATACTTTTTATTTTCAGTCTTAAATTATATCCAGTAATTGAACAAATTGTAAAACTTTATCCTCAATCAATAGTTTATCCATTTAAATTAAGTTATGAAACATTACAATATTCAATAACAGATCCAATATTAAAACATAATCTTGAATTAATTCAACAACAATTGGATCGTTATACACCACTTGTTAATGAATTTATTGAAGCATTAAATCAATTAAATCCTCAACAACAATTTGATACATGGTCAAAAGAATTATATCATTTATTAACAAATGATTCAACAACAAGAGATATTGATAAACTTAAAACACATTTAAATAAATTTAAAGATATACTTTTTTCTGATATAATTAATCTTGATGAAACTAATGATGGACAAATAATATTATTAAATACACAAGATAATAATGAATTAGAAAATAATAATTCATTATTAAAACCTAAAATAACATCAATAAGAATATTATTTAAAAATGCTGTTGAAAAAGAACTTAATGATTTATTTGGTAAAGATGGTGAATTATTTTCAACAATATCATTAGGTGATACACGTTTAATATTAGGTAATATATCATTGAAATTAAAAAATATCATACAAGATAAAACAAATATAAATGATTATTCAACATGGTTTTCATCAACATTTCGACAACAAAATCGTATATTAGATAAATCATCAATACGTGATTTAGAAATACCTGGACAATATACAAGTAAAAAAAAACCATTAATTGAACATCATATTAAAATAGTTGGTTTTGATGAACAACTTTTGGTACTTCATTCATTACGATTACCAAAACGTATAACAATACGTGGACATGATGAAAATGATTATAGATTTTTAGTTAAAGCTGGAGAAGATATACGACAAGATCAACGTATTGAAGCTTTATTTTCAATTATGAATGATCTTTATGATAATGATCCTAATTGTAATCAATCAAATTCAGCTCATATTGCTGTACGAACTTATAAAGGTAAATCATCTTTTAGTTAGATTAAAGAATTTTATTTACGATTATTTAGTCGTTAGTTTTTTTCTTTGAATAATTTTTGACCATAAGAAGTTTTGTTTCAAATGAAACTATGATCATATGTAGGTTCAGCAAAAAAAAAACCTCATCGTATAGTATACTTCATACTAAAAAGAAACTTTCGACAAATGTTGGTGCTTTTATCCCATCACTATTTATAAAATTTGTGTTTTGTGATGTAAAGAAGATATCCATGAGAATGCAAGAGAATATACTTTTATTAATAATAAAATTATTTTAATATGAACTCTTCACCTTTCATGATAGAAATCAGTTATATAGATGAGAGTCAACTGTACTATTATAGATTTCAACATTTTTTTATAATCATATTGTACTGAAATCAAGTAATCATTAAAAATATGCGAGTTCTAGTCATATAGTAATAGTGTGATAGAAATCGAGACGAACTAATATTTGATGATCATTATGAAAAGAACCAATTCTTGATAACATTAAGTCTAATTATACGAGTAAGATGACAAATCTGATGGATAAATTTAAATCCATAAAATGATAATATATATTGAAAGAAAATTTGATTTGTTTAGCAAAAAACTTATAAATATAATTATTTTAGTTATACCAATGTCATCAAAATTGGGTATGATCGAATGGCTTGATAATACACGTCCATTAAAAGATCTTATCGAAGAATCATATAATGATAGTGAACTTGATATAATAACAAATCAAGGTCAACATCCAAGAAAACTTTATCAAGATTATGTAACAAATACATATCAAAAAGCTAAACCAACAGCTAAAACAGCTAATAATACTGTAATGTATGCTGAATTATTTCTTAGTTTAACGAAAGCTCAAGTTCAAGAAGAATTTAATCATATACAATCTGTTATACCTGCTGATTTACTTCGACTTGCTTATTATAAAATAGCTATTTCTCATGAAGGTTTTTATACATTACGTCGACAATTTATAACAAGTTATGCTGTTTTATGTACAAGTCAATATATACTTGGTATTGGTGATCGACATCAATCGAAGTATGCTATATATTAGAGAGATTGGACTCAAGTTTATCTCATTAATCTTCATAAAAAGTCTTATTCCTATAAATAGTTGATACATTCCGTAGTACTTTGCATTACTCATATTCATTGAAAACTAATTCTTACAAGGGAACATTTTCAACTGATCAATCACTTTCTCATCGAAAGCTAGTAGATTTTGGGCTATCGAATATGACGATGAGTAAACTCTTTAGACCTTCATATGCTATTTTTCTGAACGAACAAATGTTTTGCCAGAAATCTCTTTAAGTCCACCGAGATTATAGAACATATCGAATTGCTTGGGAATCAGTGCTATGAACTCGTAGACAGCTTGATATACTCTATAATCTAAATAGATCAAAAATGATATTGGCAAAATGTTTGTTAATCTAGAAAACTAGCATATTTAGATTACTGAATAAACTAATCGGAAATTCACAATATCAAGATTGAGCTGGTATGACTATGCACTCGGACTGCACTATGGTTTTGAGCAGGAGTTTTTAAAGAAAATGCATATTGTTACAACCAACTATTCATAAGAATAAGACTTTTTATGGGCATTAATGAAATAAGTTCAGATCTAGCTCGAAATTCATATATTTTACAAATTATTTATTCATTTAGTTTTCTTATTGATACATCATCTGGTCAAATAATTGGTATTGATTTTGGTTCAGCATTTAATGCAGCTACAATAGTAAGTTGCAAACATAATATTAAATAGAATAGATAATTGTTCTTTTATTATTTTTTAGCATTTACCCGTACCAGAATTAATACCAATTCGTTTAACACGGCAACTTACACAATTAATGTCACCTATTGGTACAGCTGGCTTATTTCGTGCAACAATGATTCATACAATGAATGCATTACGTGAAAATTCTGATTTATTACTTAGTACAATGGATGTTTTTATTAAAGAACCATTAATAGAATGGATGGTAAGTTTTATTTATATAATAGAAAAAAAAATAATAATTTTTTTTAATTATAGGAACATGCACTTAAAACAAGTAAACAAATAGCACAAAATGGTATGTAAATAAATACAAAATAATCAATTTCTTTTTATATTTCAAAATGATGTTTTTCCGGTTTTTTAGAAACAAATATACTTCGTTCGGATGATACCTATGCAAAAGATCGAATTAAAAGTGCACGATTAAAACTTAATGGAATTAATCCCGCTGTTATAATTGGGTATGAACAAAATAAATAATATTATTAATTTATAAATTTTGTTGTTTTGTTTAAGATCTGATTTAAAATTAAATAGTTTTCTTCGTTCATCAAATTTAAAAGAAGCACGTCGTCAAATGGAAAAAGTTGTTGGTGGTGATCAAATAGATAGTAAACGTGCACAAATTTTATTAAAATATAATTCAAATCGTTATCATAAATTAACTGTTGATGAACAAATTGATTGTATTATTGATCAAGCAACAGATGTTGATATACTTGGTCGTTCATGGGCTGGTTTAGAAACATTTATGTAAATTTTTTTTTCTTTATTTGATAAAGAGTTCTTTGTTGTTGATGCAACACAATTAAAAATTGCAAATTTTTCCCTTTTTTTGTGTAACTGTAATGCAAAGTGGTTCTTTTTTGATAATTAGTCAATAAATATAAAACTAAGATATTTAAGATGATGCATTGATCTTGGTGGCGGCTGAAATTTTTCAATGATAAAGAGAGAAAATAATGGTAGAAAGCTTATTGACAAGAAATCAGACGATAATTTCTCCAAAAACTTATTTGTAACGTCAAGAATTGTTAGAAACAGAATATCTGTTTTCTGTGTCGCGATGGCCCAACCGATTGGCATACCATCTCCATATGTAAATGATTCGATAATGGGATGAATAGTATTTATATTTTATCTCTAATATGTTAGTCCTTTATAATGCATGATTTGCTTTTCTTTTCTCTATGCTGTTTTATTAGAAGTTAAACAAAGCCTTTGGCACATCTAGTTTTGCCGCTTACTATTTTTGAGGAATATGGCGATCGGAAATAATCTTTTAACATAATACTGACTGGATTAGAATTGAGAAACATGACAGAGCTTTTGTTATTTTTTTACGAAAGATTTTAGCAAAACATTATTATTTTGTCAATTACTACATATTCTATTAGCTTCTGATGTTCTCTTATTGAAGCCAATCCGTATACTTTGACCTTGACACGAAGATTCAACTTTCTTGCTGTAAAATTCAATGTTCATAATGAAATTTTTGCGATACATAAAACTTAACAACAATATAAAATAATTCGTTATCATTTTTTCTATCATACATTTTCAGTTTTTTTTTTTATTCGTTACTTTGCACTTCATTCTTCATTATTTGCTTTCAACAATAAAAAAGCTAGTTAAGATGCATTAGGTCAAGAAATATCTGTCTAAATTTTTTTTACTAGTGTTAACTATTTAATGACACTTATACGACAGAGAAGCTAATAAATTTCGATTTTCTTTGGTGAAAAATATGGCAATAAAAACACAAGAAAATGATTTATCGAATTATTTTAAAACAATAATTAGACATTTCTCTTTATAACACTTATTTCAATTACATATATAAATAACTTTAACATGACATTTTTTATGATTTTTATTAATCCGTTATTTAGACTTCAAAAGTAAATCTTACGTTACTTACAAAAAAAAAATACCGATGGATTTCGTAACAGTGTTATAATTCCTTGATATCACCTTGATAAATATAAACGTAATTTTAAAGTTGCGACACAAATAATTTAGAAATGATTTATATGTACTAACATTATTATAACCTTTTTTTTTTCTATTTACGAAAATCTACAGTTCGAATATCTGACTAGAGTGATTACAAAAAGCACATAGAACAAGAACAAAAATAAGAATTGTTTAATTATAATAACATTTGAATCAGTTCATCCCTGTTGAAAATCTACATGTGAATCATTCCTAAAACAAATAGTTTATTAGCAAAATATCAAAAATAAATTGATTCATACCAGCTCGTTTAAGTCCATAATTGAAACATTTTATTGAGCAATATCGTTCTTGTACGGGTACAGAAAATGATTGATTAGCTGCTGTAACATGTACTGTTATTCCATTTACTGATAATTGTTTTGGTACAATTATTTCACCAAAATTAGTTAAACATGGTAAAGCACAATGAGCACATATTTCATATTCATCAAGTAAGAAACATAAAGTTCGAGGAAGTGTTTTGAAATCATAAGGAATTCTAGAGTAAATAATTTTAAGAAGAAAGTTATTTATCATTTTTTCTATAAAATATTTTATACTGACAAAAAATAAAAAATGTAATAAACATAATAAAATAACAGGTTCATGAGAATGAATGATCTTCTCTCAATATTTGTTCCATATCTCTGTCAATTTTAGCAGTTATGTACTAAGTTTCCTTTTGCAAAAGACTCAACATTCAACTTTATACCAAAACAATAGACGAACGTATAGCATTAACAATTTTTAAGCACAAATATACAAATCGATTGGCGTTTTCTTCCTTCAAAGCATCATCACAGATACAATCACGTGTGTGTTATTTGATAGCACATAGAAAAGAATGTAGACGGAAGAACATGTCCAACTGTCGGCCGTCGTTCGACTTCATATTATAGCTATGATTAGGTCTCGATAAAACTGGAACACGCTTAGAAGAATTCAAGTTCATGACTTACTGATAAAGCGTTAAGGTTGTTTTTACGAAATTTTTACTAAGAGCGAGACATTTCTACAAAACCTAAAACAACGAGTTTCGACTTGAGATCTTTTCTAATAGGTGCGTTTGATAGTTAAAATCCAAAAAAAATCAGTAGTTTACCATAGGAGAACACAATAATCAAGTTTATATAACAATTAAATATACCGAAAAAGTCATGTTCGTTTTCATGGAACTATCAAACGAAACCTACTTGTAATCATAATATGAAGTCGAACGGCATCCAACAGTTGAATATTTCTGATGCATTCGTTAAAATTTACCTATATTTAATAACAGCTCGAAGACCTAATTCAACAAGTGTAATATTAAAACGTCTACATATTATAGATTTTTCTGTGATCAATGGATTTTCAGCATAATGAAATGTATGTAAACGTGTTCCACTACTAGCTAAACAATTTGGTATAAATCGAATTAAATTTGACGCTATATTGAATACTTGTAATTGTGGTAATAAACGTAATATTTTTCTTGGAATAAATTTTATTTTATTTGATGATAAATTTAAACGTTCAAGTGTATTTAAATGTAAAATAGTTAAATCAATTTTTTCTAATTGATTTTGACTTAAATCAAGATTTTTAAGTATAGGACATTTCAATTGATTTGGAAAAGATTTTAATTGATTTGAACGAATAATTAATGTATGTAAATGATTCATTTCAATATTTGATGGTAAGTCTGTTATGTTATTATCAGATAAATCAAGTGTATGTAAATTTTTAAGTAAAAATATTCGACGATCAACAGGTGTACGAACATGTGAAGAATTAATAATAAGTTTTTCTAATGTTGATGGAAAACCTTTTAAAGTTGGATAATCTATAGCTTGATTAATTATAAGTTGAAGTACTGGTCGTTGAAGTTTTTCAACAACATTTAAAGATGTTGATTTTATTGACGATGGAAGATTATTACCAGTCGATGCTAAACGAATACTTGAAAGTAGAGTTTTTAGAGATTCAACATTAGTCTATAAAATAAAAAGCAGACTTCTCTAGAAATAATAAATTTTACAATCATTAATTTTACTTCACATAATTGTATATCATGAGGTGGTACTTTAATTTGAATAGTAGCCATACCATTATTAATACATTTATGAAGAAGAGCTTGAACATTTTCACGAAGCTAAAGGATGATGAAAATTATAAGAGAATTCAATTATGTCAATTAATATTTCAAATGGTCTTCTTTTGATTCTTGAGAATGATTGAATAATTTATGTAAAGAAATTCTATCATGATTATTTCATTTGAAAGAATATTTTTATTCAAGTATTTTTGGTTGAATTATATAACACTTAAAGAAAAAAAAATAACTACGAAAAGCTTTACTATAGTACCAGTAGATTATATTCCTATTAGAGATTCAAATGTGCCTGATTGATATTTAGTTCGGCTTGTTTGGTATACATTTGCTTTTTTAAACAAAGCGATATTAAAATGATAATTGAATGGAAGTAAAAGATCACTAGCACACGAAAGTCATGTATACAGAAATGATTTATTACAGAAGTTAATTGTCAAGAAAAGACCAAAAAATAGGATATTGATATCAAGAAAAAACAATTCTGTTTATTTGACTAAGAATATTTTTGAATGAATTTTATGAATTAATTATCATATAAATGGGAATCAAAAACAATAAACATTAGTAAACAATTCATCTTAAATAACTATACTAACTGCTTAAAAAAGGGCGAAGAGTAGCTCACGAAAATGGATAAATCAATGTACAGACAATAAAAAATATAGTCATAATTTATTACTAAGCATGAGTTGTGAATAATTCTATTGAAAAACTGACTACCTTATATTGTGTAGCATTTGTATCTTTGAAAAGTCGAACAATAAGAACCCATTCATCATTATTTGATTTTGCAAGACCAATAACACCTTTAGCAGCTTTTAATGTTGATGATCCGTTTGTTCTTTGTCGATCTTGAATTTTAATTTTACAATCTAATTTCATAATTCAACAAAAACTAATATCAATTACTTTTGATTGCATTCTTTCCATCGAACAATGCATCTATATCGATACAATAAAAAAGAAATTTATTGGTCGGAATGAAAACAACACCAAACAAGAAGTAAATGAATTTGAAATGAATGTAACTAGCCCATTGGAGATGACACTACTTTATGACAGCCCTACCATTATAATAATAATAATTCAACTAATCGTTGAAGATAAACAAAAAAACAATCTTAATGGAATGTCATCGAGATCACATCATACTCGATTGTGTATTACAGTCATTAGAATGAGTGAATGAATTTAATGAAGAAGCAATTATGAGTCAGGAATGAAGAGACATGAAACTCTTCTTTGTTTATTTTTCTTAATTAAATATTAGTGATTCAGCTAGTAATAAATCATCCACTGATATTGGGAAACAAATGATTCTAACTGATCAGATTAACATATATGAATAATGACATGTAAAAATTGCTATGCAAGCTTTAAATGAAAATCAATCAGCGACTTAATAATATATAATGATGAAAAGAATATAAGTGCGTGTACCGTGTTGACATAGCATATCAACAAATTATTTTTGTTCGTTTTTGTTGTTGTTCATGGCCGAAATCTTATTTCTTGTTAGGTTAATTGCTGTTGCCACGATGCTGACATAAACAACAATCATTTATTGAAATTTTGTGCACTTGTACAAGAGATTGCTTTGACTTTGCTTTGTATTAATGTTAATTGTTAATCTTTCTTATAGACAAATCTTGTATCAAATGGAC